TCTCCGCTGCCGATTCTGCTCGGATTTCTATCTTTGTCAAATAATTTACAAAGAAATCTGTGGTCCTCCCAGAGAATCAACCATGCGCGACCTACGAGACTTCTCCTTATAGCAAATCTGGTTTTCTGCTAAACAATGGTCCAAGCGTCATACTTTTTCCAATGGGACCGAATCCGGTAGTGCCAGTATGGTAGTGTGTCTATCATGCTCACTGAAGACCAGCAGCTCGAGCTCAGGCAAGGGACTTCGATGAAAGACTCGATCCTAGGCTGGCCGTGCAAATGTCACCATCCCACGGGGCTTCTTGGTTGTCTCAATATTCAAATTCTCAATCTTGGGTCACGGTGTCCTTCACAAAACAGGGAAACGCGATGGCCAAGGCTCTAAGAGGCTTGCCAATCATTTCCCCTACGGTTTAACCGAATCAACTGGGTGGTCTATCCCTGTCTATCACTATGTCCTTACGGCTTTTCTTAGTACTAGCTACTATTATCTATCGATCCAACGGCACCGCGTCATCCGCGCCGGGCCTGCCGGAATGCAAATTCCCCGCGATTTCCTCGTTGCCCAAAAACGGGCTGAGTCGAGAGAAAGTTCAATATTGGGCCGAAAGCTACTGTACTTCTCCACACTTCGTCGCTTAAGCCATCCGAGGGGGTAGGGTACATATTAAGCAATAGTTCGCTCGCTAATACGACAGGGATACATCAAGGACGGTGACCTCATCAAAGCAAGCTTCCATTACCTGATAGGAATTTGTGCAGTCCAGCGCAATCCTTCGGAAGCTTGCAATGGACTGGTTTGTCATGCCGCCATGCAGAGAACTATTTTCGGAGTGATCAACCGTTTGATGATTAGTGCGACTGTCCTGGCAATCCTCGGGTATACTCCATTTGTTCTTGCATGGCACTGTCCTTACTATGGCCGGTCTTGGCTAAATCAATAAGTGATCCGGCCACTCAATCATTGTGATCCAACTGGAGCTGTGCCCTGTTGATCACGAAGCTAGATTCCAGCATCCTCCTAATACTCCATGTGGATACGGTGCAAACATCAACTTACCGCGGGATTGACGTTCTCTGTGATTTCGCATCCGCTAACATATTGACCGGACGGATATTCTGCACTGTCTTCTTGCAGACATCACGCGCTCGCCCTCTAATTGCCCGACCTCTATCATGGAGGAGGTTTGTCCCACACGTGCAGATTGACTATACCAAGAAAAGTTCAACATCAAAGCTTTTGAAGATGTCAACCCTGCTTTGTTGCCGAGGATGTTCATTTGTCTATCCGGTCACCCCGTGGCCTCTCGCATTGCTTTCTGAAAATGGATGGACGGCTAGTCTTCCATGGCCTTTTTTGGAATAGAAGTTCCCTTGTACTTTCTAAGACCGAGTCCCTCTCCACGCTGCTTTGTAAATCAACGAGTATAAATACATGAATCATTGTGCGTTGTCTGTCATGATGCTTTCCCTAGAGTCTCCAGATTGCGCTTGGTGTTTTATAAGTTGTTTTAAGCCTACAATCCACCATCATGACTCTAGGTCAGCCATGGCGCACGGCTGTAGCAATATCCGCGGTGGCTCTTGCTCACCTTGCTGCTGCAGATATCTGCTCGGTGATCAAGCAAGAGGGGATAGAGATTGAAAAGCCGCTGAGTCTCGACTACTACACAGACCTGACGAAATATTGGTCTGCTGCCTGTGGAGACCTGAAGCCGACATGTATCGTTGCTCCTTCGAGCTCCCTGGAGATGTCGGCGATTGTGAAGCAACTGCACAATTTTGACGACCTCTTTGCCGTGAAGTCAGGCGGGCATATGCCCAACAATGGCTTCGCCAGCATTCAAGATGGTCTTCTCATCTCGACCAAGAATCTTGATCAAGTTATCTACAATCCCGAAGACAAGACTGCCATCGTCGGTCCTGGACTTTCGTGGGAAGATGCTCAGAAAGGTCTCGATGGCACTGGTCGTGCACTCGTCGGTGGACGCCTTGGTGGCGTGGGCGTCGGAGGATATATGCTCGGAGGCAAGTTGCAGCCCCTCGCGATGGTTGACATTTCACTGATTCAGCTAGGCGGGTTGAGCTTTCTGAGTTCGCAGTATGGCTGGGCAGCCAACAATGTCGTCAACTTTGAAGTGGTGCTTGCCAATGGGACCATTGTCAATGCCAACGCGAAGGAAAACACCGGTAAACAGAGCAGAATGCACGGTTCGCTACCAAACTGACCTGGGGGTAGATCTCTTCGCGGCTCTTAAGGGAGGCGGTAACAACTTTGGCATTGTTACTGCATACACGCTCCAGACACATCCTCAAGACCACAAGGTAAACCGTGTCCAGTTATATTTATCTGGCATATTCTAAATAGCACAGGTATGGGGAGGAAACTATGTCTTTACAGCCGATAAGACGCCTCAAGTCTTGAGCGCTCTTCGTGACTTCACCGAGCATTATCCCGATGACAAGGCTGCTATTATTGTGACTTGTGAGCATGGCTTGTTGATCCACACCTGGATCATGTTCCTCTTCTACGACGGGCCTGAGCCACCAGAGGGTGTCTTTACCAATTTTACAGCAATCGGACCTACCGATAGTACTAGAACCTGGGACAGCTACTATGACTTGGTCAGTAACCCTGCCGTCGATCATCCGGAGTAGCTCATCTCATATTGAAACAGCTTAAAAACAACGATATCTTCATTCTGCAGTAAGATGATCTTCCTAGTGTTCGTGTCGGCTACTGACTTTGATTGCAGTGGCCAACGGTATACTATTGCTACTGAGACTACTCCTCTGCCGAACAAGACCGTCGGCGCAGAGGTCATGCAAAGATACTACAACCACTGGTTTAATGTGACGAACACTGTACTTGAAGTGCCCAACATGCTCGGGTCGATTGCATTTCAGCCAATGCCTCGAACTATCACCAGAAAAGCCAAGGCTAGAGGAGGAGTAAGTCCTGAAAGCATTCATTGCATCTAGAAAATGCGCTAACAACCTGGAAGGATCTTCTCGACTTCCCCACAGATCAAGACTATATTATTATTGAGCTAGACTTCTCCTATGCTTTTGGGGCAGACGACGCTAAGATTGATGCTGCCAATCAGAATCTCTATAATGGCTTTGATAACATTATCAGCGACAACATTGACAAGGGACTCTTGCCTGATGTTTACCGGCCACTTTTCATGAACGATGCGTACTTCCGACAGGACTATTGGGGTCGTATCCGCACCAGGGAGCAGGCATTGCAAACCAGGATCAAGTATGATCCAGATGGATTCTTCCAGAAGAGAACTAGTGGAGGATTTAGGCTTCATTGACGGTATTCCGAGCTTTGATCGATTTTGGATTATTCTTTCGTATATATAGCTTAGATTTAGGGCTTGTCGGGCTAGACTTTGCTGCCAACTGAACGCTTAGAATATGAGCTGAAGGGTTGAACAGCAAAGAAAGCAGATACCAATGTAATATCCAATATCCTAAGCATTTATGTCGCTGACCTGACTGTTGAGACTGAACACGTCGACCATGTATTCATCCTCGCAGCCAGAGAGACATATCTTCCTACAAAAGTCTCCTCTGTCCATCCATTAGAGTTCATCGAACCTGGTCAACAGTCTGACATCGAACCTGGACCGCATGAGATATAAGATACGATCATTCCCCTCTGCAGTCATACGACCTTTGCACGCTCTCACGGGAGCAATGAACCTAGTGACTCTAAGCCACTAAATCGCTGGCAAGGACTGGAAGTAAGACCTCAAGCTTGATTATATCTAGGAAACGAGGATTGTGCTTTCCTAGTGATGCCTCATCAACCTCGCACACTGTTAATCGCCGTCGAAATCGCCATGCCACTTTCCTCAGACGGCCATCTATGCACTGCCCTTTCAGTCATTCTATCAGTGAAAGCCGGGTCGAGGTGTAGCAATGCTCTGCGCAGATTCACTTAGAAAGTTCTCCTTAGGTCTTTAAGTCATGCACCTTTCGTAGTAGGTAGCAGCATATCAAAGGGCCCCAGTTCGAGCCAAACAGCCTTGGGACCACTTCCCGGCTGGAGAAGATTGGGAGAAATCGACAATGAGAAAGGCCAGCGCCGTCGCGTTTACTTTTTTTTCTGCCTTTGTTATGCTCTGTCGCAGTTTTCGTCAACAAAAATAGATCCTATCCTTCGCCATGAAGGAGCTCAATCAAGCTCCCCCAACGCATCGCTTTGATTGGCTTCTAGACAATGCAGATTCAAGCCATGAAACGAGACATTTTCATTTCTCTCTCACAATAGATCTCCCAAGAGCCTCAGGAAACCCCTCCCCTTGTCGCTGTATCAGGTTGAATTAAGCTCACCGGACTGTTGGCTGAGATTCCCCCGGCGGAAGACAATGCCCTCTCTCCAAGCGCCGGGGTGGAGAACAGAGCGTGTGTACATCCCCTCCCCATCCTCCTGTAGACTCTGCGTCCCAAATCCAGCCCTGAAAGGCTAGAGTCATAATGGGTCTCGCGCTTTGCCATTTATTTCATATATCTCAGTCGGTGGTCTAGATCGGGACGATGATGGCGTCCAACGTCGACGAGTAGTGCTCTGGGCGCTTGTACGGATCGACGCTTTTAACGCCTCGCGCATGGGAAACCGCCCGTCTGGGACGATGGGGCTGGGTCTAGATTCTTGGAGATGCTAAATTTGTTCTTGGTGGTCGTTTGTTGAGTCTTTGATGTTGAAGGTGCTTTGTTTCGGGGAGGGTAGCGTTGTTATAAAAGGGTTGTTGTCTGCCGTGGGTGGATGAAGATATCAGATCAGCTCTTTGTCTTTACTTGTGTTGCATTGTATCACCGTTCTTCAGAGATATCATCTACATTCCTTTGGATTTTCATATTTCACTTTGGGTTCTATATTATACATTCCTTCCGCGACTGGTCGTGTTCTCCATCTTAACAGATATCTACTACACTCCTTCGACATCATAGAGAAATCCTTTATTCCATCCCTACACAATCAAAATGGGAAAATACGGCGCACTAGGTGCAACCTTCCAAGTCGCCCGGATCGTCCAGGCCTGCTCCCTCATCGCCGTCATAGGCCTAACAGCCAACTTCATCGCGGAGATCGTCTCCAAGAACGCAACGCCGCCGAGCGTCTTCATCGGCACAATCACCGTGGTACGTTAGACCTCATACCACATCCCTCATCTCACAGGCTAACTGAGCCCGGCCAGACTTGCATAGCCGTCATCTACTGCGTCATCTCCTTCATCCTTCTTCTGGATGACATTCTCCCGTTCCTCGCGAGCGCCATCATGGACGCACTGGTGCTTGTCGCCGTCATCGTCGTGGCGGTTATCATCGGAAAACCACTCTCGTACCTCGAGTGCGATGTGATCGGGGATCTGACGGGTGATGGATCGTCTGCGTATGCATTTGCCACGAGTCTTGATAACTATCTGGACCATCTGGGCGGGAAGGTCGATTACAAGAACTGGATTGCGGCATCTAGGGGCGTCTGTCTGGAGGCGAAGTCGATCTGGGGGTTGAGCATTGCTTTGTGGTGAGTTTCTTTCTTTTGGCCCCCGCCCTCTTTCTAGAAAGATCAAGCTGATGGTTGGATGCTGTAGTATTTTGTTCTTCTTTTCGGCGGTCTGCTGCGTCTGTCTCTGGCGGCAGAAGAAGGCCACCGGTGGTGAGAAACTGGATGGATGAAAGCCTCTTGCTTCGCGAAGCGGGTTAAGGCGTCCTCGACGAGGACAAAAACAGCGGTATGACCGGGTTGGAAATAATGGCTAATATGATTGACGTGTCTTTTGTGTTCTTTCTGTTCCTGACTTATATACTGGATCTGTTGCATGGCTTCCTAGCCTTAATATAACTGCCTGTTGCATTTTATGTTAGCGATCATCACCAATATCCAGAGACCAAGACATCAACTTCTCCCAAACCACCCTAGGGTATCTCACTCACAACCAGACATCACATGCTCCCACTCAATCCAAAGTAAACGAGACAGCCCCTCACCCCGAACTAACAGGCGGAATAATCGCGACCTCGTCTCCAGGCCCAATCACCACCTCCGCGTCCGCCTCTACATCCACATACTCCTCTCCCAGACTCACCCCACAGCTAACCAGCACCTTGTCCCTGATACCGGGGTATCGTTCCTCCAGGACGTCAAAGAGCCTGGACAGCGGAAGAGGGGCGGGGAGCGTCTCGGTTGATTTGTTTGTGTAGGATGACGCGCTGGAGAAGTAGTGGATTTGGAAGGCTGGTTGTGTTTCTTGGGCGGTCATCCTGGGAGGATTGTGCTGTGTTGCTGAGGTAATTCGTTGAAGGTGGCGGGTGAGAGGGCAGGTTTATGCTCGCTGGGATTGTCGGTAAAAACCTTTAATGTGAAACAGGTTGATGCTCTTTCACTCTATTTTTTGCGGTTGTGAGGATGGCTTCCAGAGTGATGAAGGGAAGATTGGAGATGGAATTGGTGCGGGGTAACTCTTATCGCGACTCCACACCTGTGCATCACCAAGTATCTACGAGATCTAAGAGAGTAAGTACAGCGGGACAGCCAAGGGTTTAGACAAGAATTACAAGGATAGCTAGGATGTGCAGGCTAATATTTCATTTGCTTCTTATAAGATGTGATGTGATTACGAGTCCGATCGTTGGGTCATTTATATATGTAGATTAGCTACAGCCAGTATTTCTTGGGTCCCAGTGAGCGCCCCGAAAGCACTCACAAGATCGCTCTTGAGATCCTCCCAGTTCTCCAATCCTACACTGATCCGAAGCAATCGACGATCTACCGTCGCATCGCTCATTGTCCGCCACTCGATCAGCGTCTCCACCCCTCCAAGACTGGTAGCGTGCTGGAAGAACGAAAGCTTGCTAGGGAGCTTCCGCGCATAATCCTCCTCCTTCATGGTGATGGAGAAAACAGGCCCGAAGCCATTGGGCATCTGTTTCAGTAGCCACTCCTCGTCCTCTTTCTGGAGACTCGCGTGGAAAACTTGCTCGAGAGCAGCTTGCGTGACGGCTTCATCGCTACCCGGTGCCGGATTCTGCGCGCGCAATGCCTTGTCCAACCACGAGACCAAGTTCGCTGCGTTCGAGCTCTGGCGCTGGACTCGAATCTCGAGGGTTCGCAGACTGCGCACACCGAGCCAACTCTCCATGTTACCCATCACGCTGCCCAAGAATAATCGATCCTGGAAGAGTTTCTTCGCCCAATCCTTGCGCTGTGTTGCAAGGACACCGCAGAGAACATCACTGTGCCCGCCAAAGTATTTGGACCCGGAATGCATGACCAGATCGGCACCCCATATGAAGGGGTCTTGTAGGCCTGGCGGTGCGAATGTGCTGTCGACAACCAGGTACGCGCCTCTGGAATGGGCCTTGTCCGCGTATGCTGCAATGTTGAAAGCAGTTCCTTGCGGGTTTACGGGCGTCTCCAAGAGGATAACATCTCCGGCCTCCAACTGTTCCGCGGGGCAGTCGAGATCTAGCTTCTGGAGCCCGGTCAGGCGACCGAACATTTCGATCACACCGTGGCACCCATGGTAGCCATTACCGAAGGCAATTCGCCGAGGGTTCAGCAAAACAAGCGCGGCATTCAGGGCGGATAGTCCCGAGGAATAGCTGATTGCTTCGCCGTTGAGGAGCGACGATAAAATAACTTCGAACCGGGTCGGATTGGGTGCGGAGAGACGTGAATAGACGTGACTGGTCTTTTCTTGATCATACTAGAGTACGAATTGGCAATGTCAAAACAAGACCAAAATTGCATGGAAAGGATTAATCAAAATGCTGTGACGTACGCCGCTGAGATCTGTGAGGGGTACCAGTTCGTCCGGATTATCAGAGTATCGGAAGGTCGTAGAGACATGCAGCGGGGGAGCAACGTCGGTAACTACATTAAGCTCATCATCCGCGTGTAGCGAGCGCGTAGAAGCGCCAATTGCTTGATTGAAATGAGACATTGTAATGTTTCTTAATTACAGCATATGGTGAAGACAGAAAAGAAGACCGTCCCATCGCGCAGCGGGGGAGTCAAATGGCCGACTGTCGGCGAACCCCACAGCAGGACTCACACGTGATGTCAAAGCGGCCTGGCTGTGGATCTGTATTGCGTGATAGCCAGATAAGAGAACGAAGGAACCGGCAGATAATAGATGGAAAAAGGGGTATATTGCGATAATGGCAACTGGTACGTCGACTCAATAATGTACATATGGCGAAAGACTTCGTAACCCATGAGTAATCGACCAAACCGATTACCGCCGAAGGGAGCCCATCCTTGATGGCTCACGGACTGTTCCCGGTACTGCAGCTTGGAAAGCTGAACGATCTATTGATATTGTTAGCGTCGAACGCGACCCTGATACACATGAGAGCATACCGGCTTCGGAGTCAAAGGCAATCGTTATATCGTCATGTTCACTGGGATACTCTAGCATATCCAAACAAACAAAGTCCGAAGCGGGATCATCCTCGGTTTTCGGGAGCGCAAACTTGGCGTCAACAAGCCTAATACAGAATTTGCCCGATCTGTTAAAACTTTCGAGCGTATCCATGCCCTTGAGTACAAAGTTCATGCATCGTCCATGGTTGAAATCGGCCAAGAAAGCGACCAGCTGTACGACTTTCTCCTGTTGAACGATTTGAATGCGGGCCAAACTCGCTTCCCACTTTTTGTAGATCGGGACTACCATTCTGCGCCGGGAGATGATAAACGAGGAAGCAATGCTAATATCTGTAGTGAGTACGCGCAGGTGGCTACCTGGTAGATGGGCGTAGAAGTACATACCCGTCAAATAAAACGTTGAACCCCGTTACAGCTGCTTGGAAAACATGAAGATCTAGAAAGAATTAGCACGCTGCTGCGCCTAGAGGACTATCGGAGGACATACCTTTCAGAGACGCAAAATCAAAACGTCGAACCATGGGCTTAACCATGGCAATCTGCATGAAATTGGCTATTTTGTCTGGCACCTCCGCAGGCACGAGATTTTCGGCTATTGAGACTGTCAAGTCCTGTTGCGCTGGTCTATATAAACTGAGACTCGTCCTGCTGTTGACGTCCAAACCTAATTTTAGTTCACCAGGACCTGAAGGGAGAGTCAGTGGATCTCTAGCATCGTTGACACGACTTCCGCATACCTAAATTCAGGCGATCTGTTACAGAACCCCACTCCGTTGCGATAAAAGCTCGCAAGTGCTCCGATAAGATGGTAGGGCCATAGCCATGGTCCACATAAGCACGTTCTTGGTCAATCACTGACACGTTACCAGCGGGAAACTCAAGATGAGCCTTAACGGGCTGGCCACTGAACTTGTCCGCGGGTTGCTCGATTCTGTAGGCTCGCAAAGATATATCGGGTATCTTAAATTCTCGCTCCTTCGTGGTCATTCCCAAGAGCAGGGCATGCATGGTGTTTCGGCCCTGGATTTCTTGAAACGTCATCACCATGGACCGACTTCGTCCGTCTTCTTTCACCTTAAGCATGAGCGCGGGAGCTCCATCTTCCCCTCTGAGCAGTCCGAAAATAATCGGGGCACCATGTCCAATAATATGGCGGACACTGCTCAACGTCTTCACCTTGGGACTGGTAAGTACTGTCAACCGAAAGCCTCGATGAGCGCTCCGAGAGCCCGTGCCTTCGGTAACCGTTGCTGAACGTTCAAATAACCGTAGCCGACAGCGCTCCACAGATTCCGCAGGAAAAGCCTTGGGAGTCCCCGAATCCATATACTGGAAGTTCTTCAACGTGTATTCGAAGATGACGGTTTCGCTAGCTTCCGGCTGAAGGCTTGCCTCGGTTTTGAGCGTATATTGGACAATGTTCCAGAGATTCTTGAAATCGTCTTCTTGAAACGAAACATCTAGTTCGAAGCCACGCGGTAGTCTAACCCGCATGGAATGCGACTTGACATGCCATTCCACGTCATCCCAGGTGGGCCCTTTCTTTCTGTCCGACTGGATCATGACATTGACCAATTCGCTTTGGCTTGTAATTGCTGCGAATACGTACCAGTCTCCGCGGTCACGTAGTATAGACAAAGCACAAGGTATTGAAAAATGCTCCTGCGAGTCGTCTTCCTTTGAACTGATGCAAGCCTCCACAAACATACTTCCATAGCTGAAATGACGGCTCGTATCACCGAGCGGCATCATCTGAACAGTGCTTGGACCCTTTCCGGAGTTGTCCACCAAAACAGACCTTGTTGCTGCTCCAGATAGTACTGCTGAGACGTCAGGGGCGAAACCCGGGTACCTCACCCACACACTCATGTCAGCTTGGACAGCCGCATCGCCTTCAGTAGCAAGTTCAGAAAGAATATTGTTTCTCTTGATTGACATCGCCAGAGAGCGCAAGTGACTCATAATCGCTTGGTGCTGGGAGAGACAATCTTCCAGATGTTGATTACCAGTCGTGCTTGCCACAGCAAGAAGTGCATCAATCCCCCTAGTACCATATCGAGACAGCTCACTGTGCTGTGGTACAATGTTCTCACTGATCCACAAGGCTTTGCCAAGGTCCACCACTGCTTGTTTGGCGTTGACCAGGGAGCTCCCCTGGGATGTCCTTCCCCCAGAACCGGAAGAGCGAGATCGGGCGTAAGCTTCAAGCTTCTTCTTCCCACGCAGAAACCACCATACCGCTGCCCTTATCCACTCAACCAGAGAAATCTCCATCGAAGGCTTCACACTC